CCAGACACGGCTAGTGACGTCAGACTGAACAACCGGATGTGTGTGGATTAAACCAGTAGCAGTAATACACAGAAACAGGACAACATTCTTTAGAGACAGAAATTCCTCATGGGGATCTCAGCACAGCTACACCTTTATTTTCAATGTTCTCATTGAACATAGACATGCTGATAAATGCTTCAACAGGAGAACACCACTCTGCTTACGCTTTTAAATAGCATTCCCTGAAAAACTTGTCTCTTAAAGACATGACTTAAGACTGCCTGAAAACACTTACCAACCTGTCATGAACCTTCATTAAGTGTAAAACTCTTGAGCTTACCGAGTTTGCAGTGCAGTTTGGGTTGCAGTAGTCTGAAGACTGACATTCTTAGACTCTGAAGGTCTGCAGTGGCCTTTTGCAGCACATGACTTGGAACCCGCACAATGCCATCTAGTCAGAAAAATTTTCCACATGAGCAAAACAAATACAACAAATGCTGGGTTTCCACAAGTCTATTCATGGAGGTCTATGGGGCTAAAGTCACAGCCACTTTCTGTTAAGAACTTTGTTTTCCTTAGACAACAGCTATAACTACTAATGCATCTTATTAGCCTGCTGTTCACTGTAACAATCAACAGATGAAAACATCTGTGTATGTTTCTGTTCTGTGTCCTGCGTACTGTTTGTTTGTATATATGTGTCTTTTTGGCTGCTGTTACAACCAAATTTCCCCTTGTGGGACAATTAAAGGATTATTCTATTCTATTCTATTCTAAAACAGACATTAACGAATAAAAGTTAGACATTACACTCGTGCATAGATTGAAATTCACTTCAACTTACCACTGCCAGTCTGTTGGTGGACTTGAATGGCCGCACATATGTCTTCATATCCTTTTAGGAGCTGCCACAGAGATGACTGCTGAGGTTCGTCTTTAGGTTTACACCTTTGCAAACTCTTACAGTTGAACAGAGCAGCAAGCAGCGAGTCCAGCCAACACAGGTTGTCACTGTTCCTCCAGAGAAGCTGATCTGGAATAGGTACAAGATCTTCTGACTCCTTTAATGTATTCTCTGTATTCTTACAAATTTCAGTCCGTGATATTTCTGTACACATTGTCAGCTCACTTTGAGGACTCTGTGAAATATCGATTTCATTTAAATGAATGTCCTGTTCAAAGCCGTTTTGGATTCCAGGAAGACTCCTCTCGTGGTTTAACTCAATCCCTGATATACCATGGGCACTGCAATGTGAACTGAGCACAGCCTCATTTTCATCAGTAGTCAAAGAAAGTTGCAGGGAGCTTTCAGCTGAGAGTATAGAGGGGGCAAGACCATCTGCATAAGCAGCACAGTCTGGATCATTTTCTTTCACAGATTCCCTATTTGTCACTTCTGCAACTCGATAATCCCTGTGGTATCCATTCAGCTTTTCCTCATCTGTCGTGGGTTCTGCATATTGGTCATTTCTGACAGCATTTACAGCACCATCCTCTGCTGAGCTAACAGGTGTGGCAGTTACACCTTGTGGCTCGAGACCGCCAAGTTCACTTGATCGAAGATGTTTGAATGAAGGTTTAATCAACTCTTCCTTTTCCTGTGTGGAGGCATTTTTTCTTTTGTTCCCAACAACTGGCTCCACGGCATCCAAGCTAGCCAAAACATCCTCCAAGGAGCGGCTGACCAGTGGGAAGAGGCACTGTGAGAGAATGGATACAAAGAGGTTACCGAAGATGACGGCAAAAAAAATATATGAAACTGTGACTTGAGTGGTTGGACTTACCTGTGGGTTTGTGCAGACAGTGATCGAATCCTGGAGGCTGATTCGGTACGAGCGTAGAGCATAGCTCAGCCCCTTCGATGTACACCAAGGGCAATAGTCCAGTGAAGCAGCTCTTCCCTGCACCTGGGGAACAACATGGTGTATGTTAAAGCCCCAGACGTCTACCAAGTTTACCAAGTTCACAGGTGAACTGAAGACAACAGCTTAAAAGAAAACACAAATCTAGAAAAAGATCTAACTGATGAGATTCATTAACATTTTAGATTTTAGACTGCATATATCTTCAACTGATTACTTTTTTTTTTAATCAACCATTTCTTTTATCTGTCAGCAGCCTTACTTTTATATATTTACACATTATGTACACATGAATCGAAACTTGAAATACTTTACTTGATTTACCTTACAAGACCGATCAAGATTTATGTTTTAAATGCTTGTAGTGAGGAGCAGTTCAAGTGAGGCAGGACAGGGGAGTCAAGTACTTGAAAGCAGATGCATATTTGTAATAAAATCATAAGTAGTACACAGTTTCCCATGTTACAGTATGACAGATTTGACAATTGCAAGCCTGTCAAGACAAGTAACGTACCAACTTTCGCCTTTTACAACCAAAGATTTCCGTTTTTGTTTGTTTTTTGAAATTTGCTTTGGTACTGTCCAGTCACAGTCCAGTTTCAAATACAATTCAGCTTTGCGCAAGTGACAATGAGAGGAGAACAAGAGCTCTACTGACTTTTCCCAAATACCCCGCCAGTGGTGAGGCCAAAGCCTCCAAACCAGTGTCTTCACCAGTTATTGGCAAACAGCTGCTGCGGCTATTCGGGTCCATGGCTGTCCGGTGCCATCCACAATATATAACCATGTCACCACAAACTCTCTCACCTCCGAGCACACTAAGGAAGAAAAAGAAAACAGGTATGTTATGAAGTTATCAAGGTACAAGTCGCTTTGAAAGTGGTTTTGTTCCTTTTAAGAAATTTGGTTGTGTTGCAAAAAAAAGAAAAAAAAAAGATCACTTTATATCTCATAGGCTTGAAACAGTGATGGTAATGCATAACATTAGAGGTACATTAATCTGTTTTTAATCAGGAATTTGCTCCTCATCAGTACAATACTATGCTATTTATTTATTCTTATGCAGGGAAATAGCGCACTCATAAAAATATAGTTCAACTATTTTACGTTATTTCAACCATATTTAAACATTTAGCTGAAACGAAATGATTTGACAAAAGAAAAACATCAACTATTGCCATCTGTATTTACCAGTAGGAAGACGGCAGTCAACAAGGATGATATTAGCAGATAACGATGTTCAGGCACGATACTGCAGCATCCCTACTAAAGGAATAAATGTACACAATAAATACATTAAAACACCCCCAAAAAAGAAAAATCTTGCAAATGCTCAAAGATGACTCTTTAATCTTTTCACTGGCGTAATGTTTATGCTTAATCTTTGTCAATCTACAGCCAGCCTGAAGGCAGAACAATAGACTCTTGAGCACAGGTGATGATCACTGAGCGGAATTTAAATTGATTCAGAACTTATCTTTCAAACAGATAAGAAAGCTGCCCTTATTTCCTGTAAGTTCTTACAGATGGTTTGGATACATTTTTAAATATACAAGTCACATTTAATTGACCAAAACAACAGTGTATAGAGATTGATCTTCTCTGAAATTTATAAAAGAACCCTCACAAGGTTCTAACTACAATAAAGGACTCTACTTTTCTAGGATGGTCCCGGCATGACTGCAGCATGCTTGTGTTTACCCCTAAAGTCAATCTATTAGTTTCCAAATTAGTTAAATTCATTTATTATGAGCGTCTCATTCATCTTTCTAGAACATTCACAGGGTACAGTATATAAAGTATACACTTTAATTGGCAAGGCTTTAACCATATTGCCCACATGTTTTCTCCGCATTTTTCTCCAAAGGTATTTAGATCAATAATAGTACACGACACAAAGCAGGAACCAATTAGTTTCCCAGCAAAACTAGCTTTGATAGCTATTTAACACTAACATAAGCAAGCAAAACAAAAAAGAAACCTCACTTAAAACACACTTCTGTAATAAAATGCTTAGTTACCATTACCCTGTTAATGCTGTAAGGTTATAGTGATTTTATTTGGGAAATTAAAAAAATACGTTAAAATCAGTCTGTTAACCAGTCTGCATGCCCTGACTGAACTATCAGACAGCTTGAGCCTGGAAGGTAGCATGCTAAACGCTTAGCCTAAGGCCGGGCAACCGTTTAACTCGCGGCTAAAAATTATTCTTAGTAAAAATAAATAAATAAATAATACGTACCCAAACAAATGTTAAATTATATTTCCTGTTACACTGAAGTCGGTGCACATTAAGCTATAGTTTTTAAGTCCCGCCGGTATAATGGGTCCATGTGCATCTTTCTATCGATTCGTGTCACAAACGTTTTCCCAACTGCGGGTTTGTGCAGCGGCCTTTGTCTTCCCCCCCTCTATCACTGATGGTTCCGCTGGCCGCCACTCGGCTGTTCAAGTGAACTGCAATAACGTGGGCTGAAGTTTTATTGACACAATACTATCACCAACACTGTGCGACTAAGGATACTAATAATATTTTATTTATGTATATTATTTTTGTAGGATGAGATAGGGGATGTCTGTTGCACAGTTTATTTATTTATTTACTGTTATTACTGTTCATTGTAATTATTATTATTATCACAGTAATCAATACAATGATAACAGTGATATCTTCTCTTTCTTTTCTATTATTATGTTACTATTATTTATACATTTGTTTTCAATTGTTACCCCCCAAAATATTGAAATACTTACTGAGCGAGTAACCAGGCCTCAGTAGACACACCGAGAGCCCCGTTTGCTCACCTCCAAAAAAAGTTGCCTAGGTATCATCAAGGAAGGGAAGAATGTGTGCTGTTGTTTTAGTTGCTCTTAAACAGCAGTTTTGTTATTTTTATTATTTTATTCTGTCATTCCCCTTCACTCTATCTGAACACACACACACACACAAAGTGAGTTTTTCATGTCTGAATTAACCATAACCAACAGAACTGAATATTTTAGGCAGATATTTTAATGAACGTGTTAAAAAATCTGCTGATTTGAAAAAACAGTCTTTATTTACCCCTCTTTTTTCACATAGCATATTTTGTAAATGAACGATAAAGGCGACTATTTCTCTGGTGATTTGTTTTTTTGCCAGCCCACTGTATGCTTAATTTTGCTGATTGGGTGGGGGTGGGATGGATTTTACATATGTCCCCCATTTCAGTTCATAATACCAGCCCTTGCAGGCTCCTGTACCCCCCCATACACACACATGCTCAACCCACCCACACACACATATGCACACACACCTCCCTCCACCCAATCCCGCCTCTTGCATGGCATGTGCCCCCCCTTAAGCCCCTCCTGTATCTGCTGCTCTCCTGTCCTCTATTTTCCTCTTGATGACAAAATGAATTTGCATATTTTTCCCAGGGAGCGTTCATTAGAATGCATAAACCGGCCGCCTCCTAGCCTCACGAGCAGGCTATAGCTTTCCGCCGTGGCATCTCCTGATGCAAAATGAGACACAGACAGGCAGCATCACTGGCAGACATGTGGCCTGAGTCTGGGTTGTGATTGGCATTTGGAATCACTTCACCCTTCCCGTTCTTAATTCAAGGATAAGAATAAACTCTGTCAGCCATTTTTCTTTGTTTCTATGTTAGCTGCTAAGAAGAAGAGCCGTTTATTTATTCTCTTTAAACATATAAAGAAACAATTCATTCATTTTTAAACATGCGCAATTAAAGGAAGATTTACTGTAGGGATGTGGTTATATTTGAAATCATGAGAGACTGTGGGCACCTTCTTTATTTAAGCACCCCACCCCCCTACCCCCCTTCACCAGCCATATTCAAACACACAGACAAACCTTTCAAGTCAAATTACATTACTGGCTTGAATCCACTCAGTGCAAAACAAGTCGTTTTAGGAAGGGCCTGTGTCACAGACTAAAATCACACTCCTGGAATGTCTTTTCTACTCTGTGGAGGCTCTTTTTGCCTTTATTTCCATATAACTTTCCATATAACTCTGTCTAATGGTGGCGCTAGAGCTGAGGTCCCAAAGTGACAAAATGTGCATTTTATAGACTGATGATCTGAATCTATACAGCTCATTCTTCTGTGCAGTTATTCTGTGCTGGTAGTGTAATGGGTAATTATTTATAACTCTACGTTACACACTGTTATACTGAATATAATGCAGTATAACTGCATATTATGCTGTATTATCAAGGATAATAGCAATTTTCATGTCTGTATATGTTATAAGGTAGGCCATGCTAAACAGGCACACTCAATAAATTAATCTACTCCTTATCTGATGGTAGTGGTAGAGCAACGCCACTTGGCACTAAAGCTCATTAGGTTACCCCATGCACACTGCGTTCAGAATCTAATATTTCCCAGTCTGTTAATCAGACATACAAGAAAATGTATTTGTGTCACCTCTTGGCTGTACTAATCAGACACATTATTCAGCTGCATAAGAGTAATACAAAGAAAATGTGTAACAGATGCATATTGTACAGGGAAAAGTGACAAAAACCTTTAAAACCTCATATACAATAAGTTATATGCTATATTTTGTAAGGCAATCAGTAATAAATGATAAATTAGGAATGTACTGTTAATACAATATTGGATAATATTGAACAAAACAGCTTGCAAAATTAATATAGAAAATATATATACACTGTACATGCATATGCACTATATGTACTATACCTGCTGTGTAGAGTGGGTTAGATTGAAAAGCACTTATGAATAGACAAAACAAACAGACTCCTGGGTTTGTTTGTTTTCCCCCATTTTGGATGTATTGGAATTTGAGTCTATGACAATTGTATTATGTTTATTATAACAACGTGCCAGGTGTTGGGAGTAAGAAGCCCTCTGCTATGAGGCTATCATGCAGACCTGTTGGACTATATCTAAAATTCCAAGTAAAAGCTCACTATCTTTTAGGGCAAAAATAAATAAATAATTGAATGAATAAAGTCAGTCAAAATGCTCATTTACTGCTTTTGCTTTAAACTGAGCAGCCGCCCTTTGATCTTCATAAGTCTTAATTAACAATAAGCACATGACCATCTCCTAATCAGGCAATGTATATGAGACCTCGAAATATCAGGATAAAAAACATACTGTGTAGAAAAACATTAACTGACAGATCTTAATATTAATTTCCCATTAAATATATTTACCATAATTTATTATCTCCAGCTCCATTTTATCCTACTATTAATATTGGGTCGTAAGTAAACATAGTCAAAAGCACAGAATGAGTGCTTAAAAAACGAATAATTATGGATACTTGTCAGAGAGAATAAGAAAACACGGTTTAGTAGTGTCAATGCAGGGACTTTCTGTCGATCATGGGCATAAATGATAATAATGGTTAATACACTGATCACAAGGGAGGCCAATCATTGAATTCCTATGGTTTTCATTCATACTAAGAGCTAAATCCTTTTTTAAAAATTTCATATCTGGACGTAACTATCACGCATGGGACGGGTAATCGCTCTTTATGCCCTTTACACGGGAATTTGCGATGTCCTCCCTATACATTTTTAAAGACATAATTTGCAAATAAGCTCACGTGTATTGTGCAGAATGCACAAAGGAGCCTGTTGATAAGGAGACGTACAACCCATCCAACACAATCTGACAACATTTTACGGCCGCCTCGTTCGCTGGCTACAAGCGCTCCTCGATGTCTCATTCATTTAGCTTGCCTACTGTACACTGAGCTCAACGTAGTGAATTCAATACTATGGCAAACACACTACACTACTACCAGCTCCAGCATGCTCGGACAGAAATATTTTTGTATCCACGCGCCTCACAAAACTTCGGTGACGTTTCACAAAAGACAACCAATGGAACCTCGTCTTCTATTAGGACAATGAAAAGCCTTCGACCAATCGCAGGGACGCCAGACTGGGCGCTGTCCAATGGCGTGCGAGCCCCGCCGAGAGTAATGTTAGAGAGCTGAAGACTGAAGACACTGCGTATCGCCTGTGCTCCCTCATACACAGCCATTGCAGACCATTGAGATCCAGCGATAGTCACTGGGTAAGTATCACACACACGAACATTTTAAGTGTCCGTAAGGATGAAAATGACGGTAACATTTAAAAATATCTTACTTATATGTCTGCCACGGTTACACGCGAAACCTTTTACTGTTTGCAAATAATTTTATTGCGGGGAACCTTAAAAAAACAACAAAATTGCCGGCGCTAAGCAGGTATCGTTACATTACTCTGCCTGGGAGTGAGGACCAGACGCTCAGTAAAAAAGAAGAATTGAAAATTAACCTTGACGAAATTCGACGCAAAGCGTCGATTTTGTTAAATACGAATAATTTTGTATAATACAATCGTGTCGTTTTCGCAAAATGGAGTCGAATCAAATGGTAGTTATCGCGAAAAAAATCAGGAATGTCTAGCGGACAACACGGTTAGCGACAATGGTAGAAGACTCACCGTTAGCTAGCCATTGGCATTGCAGTGCATTGCAAAGCTGAACGGCTGTCATGCGAAGACCGGAGGAGCGTGCGGAGTCTGGAGACGAGCATCAAAATTTATAAAAACCTAAGAAAAAGAGAGAGCATCTAAAAATACACCCGGGCAAATGTTTGTTTGCCACACTTCACCCGAGAAGACAGCGAAAAAAAATACCTCACGATCTGCGCTTTACTGTAATGGCTGACTGTATTCGCATAGGAAACAAGGCAGCGAGGCAATGGGAAGCCAGTGACAGAGGCGCAGTTCAGTTCAACTTTTTCTAACCGTGTTTTCTCGAGAAACAATCTCGTAACTATGAGATGTGACGACGGCAAAAGAAAATTCAATCTTTCGTGATTCGAACGAGACCAAGGGGAGATTTTTCCGATGCTCGGAAAAGGTTTAAATCGGGGCTTGAAATGAAGTGGTGGCCGCGGTCGCTCTGCCCTCTATTGCGTGCAGTGCAATGGCTGAGCGTTGACACAAAGAGAAGGAGCCATATTCTCCATGTTAGTGGATGAAGACGAGCGGCCATTAGGAGCTCATAGAAACCAAGTCAGTAGCACAGCCCGCTCATAGACACAGTACAGACCCAATGTATTACTATACAAGGCGGCTAGTGCAATAGGAATCAATCGGGGAAATATTTAGTCAAGATCGCCGGCTTTCTAGACATATTTGTCGCGTAGCAAAGCGAACTGGGAGGCGGGAGGAGACATTTGAGGGGGACTTTCTTTCATGAAGAAGGCATTCTCACAAAATGGAAGAAGAAATATTGCTGTCGTTGTTGACCTCCTTTTCCTCAACGAGAGCCTTTGCGCCATTACTACTTCGCTCGACGCAGCTTACTTGGGACTTACAGTAGCATTTAATAGGAAAATGTAAAGGGGAGGGGGAGAAAAATAACAGTTTTTTA